AGATCAGGATTTGCACCTGGTATGAAATGTTTACCAATCATGCAACAGGAGACACAAATGCAAATAGAAACCGAAATCACCTTTGAAAATAATATGAGAAGGATGATCTGTGGCAGGCCAATCTCCACACACTTGGCAAGCTAAAGTCCCAAGCAATAACAAATACAAACAATTAAAGAGGACACAATCAAAACGAACTCAAGTGACGGGGTCCTAACGTTATCTCAAATGTGAAATATACATACCACAGGAAAACCAAATTCATACAACCCGAAGCCGGACAAAGCAACCAAAGGAACTGCAGATAGTGGACTCAAGAACCTGGAAAAGAAAACAAAAACAAATCTGGTGCTAATTGTTTGAATGTCAATCAAATTAGGAAAGAAAATTTACCTCGAAACCAGAGAAATGCAGGGACAGTAAAAATGAGACTCATCAGACATTTGATTAAACAGAACTAATCTTGAAAAAGAGTTATAATGTAACCAAGGATTGAGGATTCCAATTGAAAGAAAAATATTAAGAAACCTTGCAACATTTCGCCATAGCCCACTAAAGCCAACGACAATCTGGAGTGTAGAGGCAACTATAAGAGCACCCTGGATTCCACGCATTATCCTCTCAAATTTCTGCAAGTCCATAGTAAAAAGATAGAGAATTTAGAACCTTAGGATCAGAAAAACCAGAAGTTAGTAAACAAAATAGTTTGAATTTTAATGAAGCAACCTCCTGAGGATTCACAATGTCACTGTACCGACCAGCCAAGATAATAGAAATCGTCGTTGGCACGTAGGTGTAAGAACCTCCAATTACTGCAGGTAGACGAGTTCCAAAGAGTGTCTGGAATAAAGTGTTTAATCCAGCCACAAACAGGAGCGTCTGAACCACTTTTGCTTTCTCCTCCTGCAGATGATCTCAAATATTATATCTGTGCATTACTGAAAATTTACCACATAACAGAAAGAAAGAAGATCATTTGTTTGATCACTGAAATTTTCTTGAAGGCTTACATTTCCACCGCCCATCTGTGGAACCAGAGAGCTGGGTATGAGTACAGTGGTCCCAAGCATCACCAAGTAATGTTGAAAACCAAGTAATATAGCCTCAGCTGCACACAAAAACAAACCCACAAAATATATTCGATTAATTGCACCAAGAAACAAACACATATTTATTAATAAGATAAATATAGATAAACCAAATAGAATCAGACCAAGCAATAGAGAAATGCACTGTAAATCCGCAACACAAGTACAGCAATCAACAAGGAGGATCCAGAGGAATAAGAAATGAGAAGTTGAACGTAAGATAATTATGGCGATAAATAAGAAACTCACGCCAAGGAGGGGGACTGGTAATGCAATAAGCAATGTTGGGCAGCTGATCTTTGACTGGATGTGGCTGCAGCTCCTCTTGTTTCGGCGGCGGCGCAGCTCCTCCACCTCCACCTCCACCACCCGCCATGCTTCCCACCGAGACCGGCTGGACACTTCAGTTAATCCTCACACAGCAGTCCCGAATCCCCAATCTCTCAAACGCCAACTTGAAAGAGAAGAAAGACCAAAACTCGGACGTCTCAATCCCCAGAAACACACAAAAAAAATCAACTTGGGCTAGGCCGGGCCCCTCGTTCAAAAACGTATCCGATGAGAGCAACAGCTGATAACAAAAGCTGAAAAAAAGCAAAGAAGACAAGATAAGCTTTGAGAAGCAGAATCACAAGATAAGTATTGCAGTAAAATAAAAAAAATAAATATATATACGCATATACCTACACCCGTCTTGAAGAAGATATTAAAATAAAACAGAAAGCAAAAGAAAAAAGAAAAGAAAATATTATGAAATGGGTAGTAAGGGTGAAGGTGGTGTAAGCGTTTTAGAGCAAAAAGAGCCACTTGGGACGCAAGAAACCTAAAGCGAGCGTGAAGAAGAAGAAAAAAGGTAAAGCAGAAGAAAAGAAATGAGAGAGAGAATGCGAAGAGTGTTAAAAGCGAGAAAGAAGAAAACCAAAATTCCTGTGTGGTAATACCGAGGGAATCTAAGGTACCTCCCTGTTCTTCCTACTGCATTTCCCTTTTTATTAATTTTTTTTAAAAGATGGGTTAACATTAACAACAAGAACAGCACTTTTTATTCAACCACGTAAAGTTAAAGCCAAATGTAGAAAAGCATATTAGATCACCGTCAACTTTACCAATCTCAGTAGAACCCTCTTCTGGTATTAGTAATTAATTCTGTATTTTCTTTTCAGAAAGCATTAGTAATTTATGGTGTATTCATAAAAAACCAACATTAATGAAACTATCACGCTTCCATATGATACCAACAGTCTCCTTCAAAGTTCCATATACATATATATATATGGAGAGAGAGAGAGAGAGAGAGAGAGAGAAGAAAGGTCTGAGGTATGGTGTTTCACCATGTACAAGAATTGGATTTGAGATTTGAGAGCATAACTTTTTTGGAGAAAGAGAAGCATTATATTTAGTGGAGGAAGAGAAGAGTGGTCCCTTCAAAATATTTGTGAAAAAGCAGGTGACTTGTCGTTTTGGGCTGAGATGCCACTCAGCAACCCCTCCGTCGACATGGACAAAAAATTAATTTGTTAATACCCTTTTTATTTTTGTTAAACAAGAATTTACACATTTAATTACTTTAGATTATATATACACATTAATTATAATTTAAATTAAATATTATTATATGTTTGGAGAAAAAATGTATTGAAAATTGGTATCTATTTTGTTATCGGTAGCTTATTCTTCACCTGACTGAATGCAACAAATACTAATAACTCGAACCAGAGACGAAGCTTCCTTTTGCTTCCAAAAAAAAGGAAAAGAACATTTGATGTGACCAAAGTTTCTTTAATCCATCTGCAGCGCGTTACAATGAAAACGATGGACAGTCGTCTTGGCCAATTAAGAGGCGACACGTGGCAGAATATGAGCATGAAGAAGACAAACACAGTTACTCTTCCCCGCCTGGTTATTTTGGTGTTCATCATGACTGAGATTGACCAGAAAGGAGTTGCTTATTCTTTTTCATTTCTTGTGGAATTGGTGTTGGAGTAAGGAGAGTGGGACCTTAAGAATCAAAGGTTAAAATGATGACCATATTATTGGGACTGGGTGGTCCTGTGATAAATGGGTTTAGTTTGATCTTAACCGACTTGTTAAGATATTGATTCATTATATAAAAGTGATCCAGTGTGACCGTGTGCTCTAGTTTGGGTATTAGTTTAGTTATATATAAGAGTAGTAGACTTATTTAATTATAAAATTACATCGAGAAGATTCACTATTATTATTGATAACATGACAAAATTAAACACTAAATTTAAGAAAGAGTGAAAAAGAATTATAGGCTTGTGATGTTAGTTTCAAGTATAAATTACAAAGTAATTCAACATGTGGCCTCCACTCTTTCCTCCTTGAATATGAAGAAAAACCCAATTTCTTTTAGGTCATTGTAGAATATAATGTGTGTGTGTATATATATATTAACTTTGTAGAGAAGCTTCAGCTTTCTGCCATTTTCCTTTTCACAATAATCAAATTCTGACAAAGAGGAAAAAGAAAGACTTGCTGTAAATACAGAAGCTTGAATTTTTATTTACTCAAATATTATATATATATATATAGAGAGAGAGATAGAGAGAGAGAGAGAGAGAGGAGAAATAAATATAAAGTTGACTTGGTAGTGAAGTTACTTTAGGAATTAGAGAGCATGTTACTTTCGTACTTGAAAATAAGCTGCAAGGTATTCCTGGAGGGCTATAAAGAAAAGAAATCGTCGAGAGAAAATCCACCTTTTATTATAATAATAAAACAATTAATTATGAGGTGAGATCTGGTCATTACATACCACCATGCACAAAATATAACTAATTAATTAATCAAAAAGACCCAACAAATCATACCATTGAAGATGGAACTGCATGGCTTTGGTTTGTCATGAAGAGCATTGAACGTACAAGTTTTCTGATGTTTGAAAATAACACCCTTAATTCTCATTCTTAGAGTTAAGATTATCTATCTACATCACTTACCCACTTCACCATCCTCCTCTACTAACCCATACCAATACCTACTATATATCTCCCAAAAATACAAAAACAAAACATACTATATCTCACAAAAAGATTAGACAAATATCTAAGAATTACCAAGTGCGGGGAAGGAAGAAATCAAATATCAATTAAATGTGCGTGCGCATCAAACATTAAATAAAGTTTTTAAACAAAAATTTATATATTTCAAAAATTAGACAACATTTGTACATTAAAAAAATACATACATAAAATACATCTCAATTCAATTCACATTCTTATATAGAGAGTGAAAGTACCGACCATCAAATCATAAAACGATTGTATTGAATTACTTTACTATCTCAATAAATCCTAAAAATTATAGTAACTATGACGAACTATGATGTAATTCAACTAGATATACTACGAACTCAAAAAAGAAATGTATTATCTCGTGAGGGGGGAAGAGATTAACAACAAGCAAAGCCGTGGAATAACTTTCTTATTTCAATAAATTTCAATAGAAATAACATTGAATATAGTTTAATATATATTCACCTATTGTATCTTAGCATACTTACTCCTCTTGAGTTAATAAAAGATGTTAAATTGTGTTAAAAATTTTGGAAACATTAAAACATTACATTTGTTTCCTTTTAATTATATAAATAACTTTTTAACAACAAATAAGCAAGAGTTAATGTATAGAGGATACATATAGAACTTTTGTAACATAAAAAAACATATTTTTTGAAGATGCAGAGAACTATTATCATACATCTCTAATAATTTGATAAGATTTTATCACCAATCTTAACTTATTTAGAGAGTAAACTAATGTTAATACTAAAATTATTCATTATAAACTATATTTTGTTACCTGATGTTTGTTATATTATACACAAACCATTATATATTAACTGAACATACAATATCATACTTGAAATAAATGAACTCTTTCTGTAAAACCTATTGTAAAATGCATGTTTAGCTTAATAATGAAATGAAATTTAATTCTTAGAAGTATAAAAACCAACTCCAAGTAAATCCTAAGTGGATTGAGAAATAGGTTTCGAACTTTCATGAAGTTTATAGTATTTGAAAATTCAATTTCATGTGACTTTTATTTTGAGTTGAATTTGGATTCTCTCAATCTGGAACTATGTCAAAATAATAATTCATTTGTTCCAAGCGTGCCTTTAGTTCCAGTAAACAACAAATTCCCTCCAACTACTTTGAACAGTTCTTGCTAGGAAATTTTGAACCCACAGACTTGAGCAAACCTCCAGGCTCTAATGCTTCCCTTTCAGCTAAAGCAAAAGTGAAAAACTTTCTCCAGCCATCAAGTACCCAAAACAATATAGTTTTGTAAAAAGAGTTTGTTTGTGAAATAATCAAAAATATTAAAAAAATAATAATTGCTTTACAAAACAATGAAAATAACATTTTAAAATTTCTTAACTCCATAATTATTTTCACTATTATTTTATTGGTTATTTGGTAATCTGTATGGTTTTGTAAATGAAATAAGTTTAGAAAATAAAACTAAAAAAAATATTGTATGCACTAAAAGAAGCCTAATTCTTCCTCTACTTGTCCTCAAACAAACGATACTATGATTGGTAAGCTCAACCAAAGCAGATTACTATAAACTAAAAAGGGTGACTATGGGAACAACAGTAATTAGCCTGACCTTTAAGAATGACCCCAGATGATTGCTCTTCAAAGACACCTCCAGATATAAAAAGGTAATCTCTAGAGACTGACTCTGTTCTACTCATATGATATCAACAGCTGCTTTGTGATTCATATACTTGATGGTTGTCAAACCATATTATAACAGCGTAGACATATACATATACACTAAATAGTGATAATATGGACGCCACAATAAGGGAAATCTGTTAGTTCTACTTTTCCCAAACTCAAACTTGGGGACCAATAAAAAGAATGAAGTATAAAGCAGCTAAGATGTCTGTGTTTCAACTTCCTTCTCCCTACTAAAACCAAGGAGCAAGAAAAGCATAAAATTACGGGTAAAAGTCACTATGTTCCAGGGGCAATTATTGTAACTTTGCCTTGAGTCATATTGATCAGTGAATTTCTCTCTCTACAGAAGCATTCACTTAATGCACTCTTAGGTTTCCCTTTTTTATGCTCTTATATTCAGGCACAAATATAAAGTCAATTTCATCTGAAAAGAAATATCTATATTCCACTGAAATAGACAGGTGGTAGTCCAGAATTTTTAGCTAAAGAAAACATACGGGTACATTACTCAAACATTATTTTCATTTCCAAGGAACAACAGGGACCAATTAGGTTGAGCACTTGGGAGATGAGATGTATATTGGAGTAAATTTTGGCCATAAAGATGACCATAAGAAATATAAGGAAACACTGCAATCAGCAAAGTTATTTCACAAATAATCTCCATTCACCAACAGATATAGATTATTACATCTGTAAACGATAAGCATGTTAACAGCAAAGCACAACAGAGAGTCAGAAGGAGCAGAATGTTTCACAAATAAGCAATGCTAACAGCAAAGTAGAACAAAATTTTGCCAACGCGTAGGATGTGATTCTTGTTGATGACAGGATATACATGCCAAAATGCCACTTGCAGGAGATTTCAAAGATCTCAACACACAATCTCCATTAAAGCAAAATAACATACTATTTTATAAAATTATCACCAAATATAAACACCCTAACAGCAAAGGACAAGTAGAGAGCCAGAAGGAGCAGGATAAATCAATAGGTAAATTTCAATTATGAGATAAACACTAAACTCTGTTGCTGGCCTCAACTTTAGATAATGTTGGAGAAAAGATAATGCGTTCTTGCACAAATTGCCAAAACTAAGTTTGGGCACCAGGAACATACCCATTGCTTTTGTCACCTAAGGTGCTTTTCCCAGAAGTTAGACAATGTAAAATCAAATTATCACTAGCTGGAACCGCGAGCTTGTAGTCTCTTCCTCTCAAACTCCAGCTGAAAAGAAAAACAAAGCAATTAATTTTTTTTTTTTAAATAACAAAGTAATGAATGATTTTCCTGATGAAATTCCCAACAAACTGATGCTAAGAATTCAAAAGACTTACCATTTTCCTCACCCGATCATTGGCAGAAGGAGTTCCTCCACTAACGGATTCAGGTAGATATGGACTGCTAACGCGCACTTCATTCATCACAACAATGACAGTCTTATCCCAACGCACTGGAAGCCTGGTTATTACCATGAACATCAATTATCAAATGATTAATTGCCTATACAATATTTCTCCATAGTGAGTTCCTCAAGTGCATATTCAAATATATATGGGTTGCTAACAAACATTTATTCATCATCACAAAACAGTCTTATTCCAGGTCATTGGAAACCAGATTATTTACCATTAACATTAACTTTAACTATCAGCTCCATAATAATATTTTTCCAGAAGGATTGCCAATAACAAAAACATTTATTTGTATCACCTAGGTCCTACTGATGGAAGCAATAGCAGAAAGAAGCAGAAGAATCATATCTTCAAAGAATGCCAGAGCGAATGCCTCCATAAATAGTTACAAGTTCCAGAATCAATACTACCATGATAACAGTGACATTATTCACAGAAGATAAATGCATTTAGCAGAGCTGGAAAAGGAGAATGTAAAGGAAAACATGAAGGAATGTTAAATGCAGCTTTTACGTCTTAGATAAAGCATCAAAAATGTTCTGGGCTTCGGTGGTGACACCCACTCCAATTCTTTCAGCTTCTGCCTCTGCTTGCCTGCAAATTTCACCATCTAATATAAATCATTCCAAATTCAACAAGAATCAAACATTTGAGTTGAGATATTAAGAGCCAATAAGTTAAATTACCTAACAGCCAATTCTTCTCTGGCTTGAAGACTGTTAAGATCGAGGTAACACTTGCTGATATCAAGTGGGTCTTCAGCGTGTCCCAGGTACGAAAATTCCTGTATGTAATTAGCTTTCAGCAGCCTGATGTTCCTCCTAGGCCCAGACTTTGAACCCTCTTGTAACACAAAACATGGTTAAGGAATCGAAAAATTCAAATTCAAACAAACAAAATCCACCAACGGAAAATAAAAAAAGAGGCGAAAACTATCTTGGATTAGCAAAAAAAAAAACAAAAAACAAAATGGAAGAAGCAAGCAAAATCGAAAGAGAAAAGGATATGAAGCACGAGGATGTTGGAATGGCGGTCGAAGGCAATGACCTGGGCTTGGAATTCGTCCCCCAATGTGGTCTTGATCGAAAGCAAGCAGCCGACTGCGAAGTCCTCGCTGTTGTTTCCATCCATGGCCTTCGGCTTTCACCCAATTTTCCTAAACGTTTTTAGATTTGCTGCTGCGATTTTCTTCCTTTTATTTCTTTTTACCTTCTTCGCTTCGCCTTAAGCCTTCACTGCGTTTTCTTTGTGCTTGACAATGGAGGTCAGCTCTCAACAGTATCAAGCTTTAGGTTGGGCTAGACCAGATAAATAGCGGGCTAATAATTGGGCTGGTTGTGAGCGAAATGGGTCAAGAATAGAGATCCACATTGAGAATTTTGACCGGTAATTAATTAGTTAATATAATGTAATTAGTGGTAATTAATAATTATTTAGGGTCATTATGATAATTTAAATAACCAGGGGCAAAAGGGTAAAAGAGAAGAAAGGTCGAGAATCTTCTTTTGGATATCGAGTATTTCCAGTGTTCATACAGGGTGGTCCATTACCTTATTATTAGAGGTGAGCTGGTCACCACACCACTGCCATTCCACCTCCTGTTTCCATATCTTTTTTAAAAAAAAATTATTTAATTTTATTTTTGATTATTTGGTGGAAAGATTTTTGTTTATTAAATGTTTATATACGATGTAGATCTGCGAATTTAATATAGTTCATAATTTGAGCATTTGTATTCACTTCAACTTTCTGCATCAATATATTTATTAATTTCTAAAATTAAATATAACATATATTTGGTGTATATTTATTTATATAGTTTTTAAATTAATTAGTATTTATATATTTTTTATGATAAATTTTTGTTAGATTTAAAAATTTTCTTTTGTTGACTCCTTATGAATCATCACAAGCCATTCATGTTTGCCTAGTAATTAAATAAAAAATGTCTAAACTAAAAAATCAAAAAATATATATGTAACATTATATTAAACAATTCATAGAAAAATAGCCGAAAACGTGTTTCACTCAGATATTATGCATACATGTGTATACGTGTATATATATATATATATATAACATAATTTTAGACTTTGTCTTTTAGGTCTCTCGTTTATCACAATAAGAAGGGCTTATTTTGACTTTGACTTTGACCTTACTTTTTTAATATTAAATTAAATATGTGTATTTAACTAGATTAAACACTACTTGTCAACTAAAGTCTTATGAGCTTTGTCAAAAATCAAGGAAAAGTAAGAAAAAATGTAAATGTTCCTAATTTAAAAAAAAAATGAATTTATAATTTAAATACGTAAATGATTAATAGATTTAAAATTTACATTTTTTATATAATAATTAAAAATACTCAATAGAGTTATGAGAATATTTTATTTAAAAGATAAATAATAATTAAAAAAATAAAAAGAAGAGCGAATAAATAAATATCATGGGGCAACCTTCACTAACATTTAAAAGGAGTACGGGTGTGAAACTATTCACAACTCTTTTAATGATCAGAATTTGGATCTTGGTCTCATTGATCTAAAATAATTAATAAAATGGTAAATTATACTACCGAAATAAAAATATTACACTAATCACATATACAAAAAATAAAAAATTAGTAAAAATCATAAAACAACTAATTGAGTCTTTAATTTGAGTAAATTTATTTAATATAAAGAAAACTGTTTACTTTGTACTTATTGTAACTAGTTTTCCAAAAACAACTTATGAAGACTCATATTCATACTAATTTTTATTTTCACGCAAAAGAGAACAAGATACAATAACTTTCAATTTTTACCTGCTTACTGATACCATTGGGAGTCTATAGGGATGTTTCTCTACTCGTTAGCACAATATCCAATTTAAATAATTAATCGATCGTTCTCATACTCCGAACGGTAATAGGCACCAAACATTCTATCGCTTCGATACCTCATCTGGTATGAGGATGAACCATATCTCCCAAACCTTTTCGGTAAGGGACTTCCCAACCCCGTTCGGCTGAAGTAACGTTCACGATAAGGTTTCTTATGTACCAAACCCATCCACCCTTTCCTTAGATACCTAGTAAGTCTTTCACATAAAGATTCTCATCAACAAAACAACCAACCACGCATACCACTATCTCATATTACATGTAAAGATCAATTAAACTATATTCCTGCTGACAGTATATAACCGAATAAATTAAATAAATCGATAAGGCTATAAAAAATATAAATTAAGAACATATATCATATAATTATAAGCAAATAGAGCAGTATAGGAAAATAAGTAGGAAATCGGGACAATCGTGAATTAACAGAAAATTGGTTCAATCATGAACTAACCGGTTTTAACTCCACTAGTGACCTATAATTATTTTTAGAGTTCTCTAATTTTTTATAAAATAAGAAATTATACATAATTGAGTCTCAATTTACTGTAACAGAGAATAGGGTGAGAGATTTTTACCCGGATCGATGATTCAAGACGTCACACTATTTACTATGTCTCCTAACGGGTACCAGATTTCATGAATTTTTCTGTAGAATTCTAAAATACTTGTCACATACCTAAAAATATCTTTAAAATGTAAAATCGGTGTCCAAAATTCTTTTCGGTCCATTTTGGGGTTCTGGCACGGCACCAGCTCTGTCGCCCATGACAGCAGTTCGCTTTGGCCTGGCCAGTTTTGGTCATTTTTATCAATTTTACACATATTCCTATAGGACAAACACATTAAGAGACCTCATTTAGCCGAAAAATCACAAAAATCAAAACTACTGGCGAGGCTGGAGGAGGGGAGGGGAGGGGGGCAGGCCTCCGGATATGGCGACTCCATCTGTCCTCCTTTGTAGTTGGGATTCATTCTTTGGCTAATTTGCACAGAAAAGAATAGTGAACACAATGATAAGAAAATTACGTGAAACGGGAAGCGGGAAGTGATCCATCGAAGGGATTTTTGGGTTTTGGCCATGGTACTTCCAACGGGCTATGCCCACGGTTTCTGACTCACTCGTCGTCCCTCTTGCTCTAATTTGGCCATAGGGATGCTCAGAATTGAATTCTAAGTGGATAGAGGAAATTTTTACCCTTTTTCGACGGCTGGCAGTGGCTCTATTACGGTGGTGGTCGGCAGTCGGCCTCCTTCTCCGGCGCCTGATTCTTCTTCTCCAATAGGGGCTGGCGGATAGGATTTGGGTTCCCATGCGATGTAAAGTATTTATACTCATCCTGCGTCGATTTGGATTGTTCGTCATAATTGATCTCGTCCGTCTGATCGCACCTAAGGAGGAAACGAATCTGGACCATTTATCACGATTGATCTCGTCCGTCCAATCGTGCCTAAAGAAGGAACGAATATGAGTCGTCCATGCACGCGGGATCGATCCTGAACTGTCCGATTGCTGGGCACGCGTTGTCCGCGTGATGCCGATGTCAACGTGTCTTGCCACATGCGTGCTCCCGTTCGTCGGGGCTGCTGACTAGGGCATCCTACATGACTAAATTTTTTTTTACACTTTTACCCCCTGTTTCTATTTTTTTTTCAAAAATACTCCTGAACTTAAATTTTTACTCATTTTTTTTTCAAAATTATTTTCGATTACATCTATAACCTATTTTTTTTAAAATAATTTAACAAAATTAAATTAAATTAATTTATAAATAATTTATTTATTTATTTTTAAACTATGAAAATTGATCTCTATCTAAATTTTGGGCCTGCGTATTATAATTTTCTACCCTTAAGAAGAAATTTGATCACTTAAATTTGTTACCCTCTCACTTAGTTAAACAGTTTTGGATACTGAGCTCTGAAGTCCGATTCTAACTTTTATGTGACTTCTATTTGTGTGTAATTCTGCCATAGGACCTTAACGAAAGAAATTTCTCTATTGTAGAGTACTCTGTTTTTTCGGTCTACAATACCCACTTGTACCTCCTTATAGGATAAATTCTACTGAAGTGAAGGGGGCTCGTGGGGCAGGATGTGTGAGGGGTTCAAGTTGTACTTGCATAACATGGATACGTGGAACATATTATGAACCCTGGAGAGATTTGGAGGTAGTGTTAGTCTGTAGGTGATCGTACCAATCTGGTCTAAGATTTCAAATGATTCGATGAATTGGAGATTTAATTTCTCCCTCTTGTCAAACCTACTGATCCCCATAAAAGGAGTGACTTTAAGAAACACTCGATCACATTTCTCAAATTCTATATCCCTCATTTGAGTGTCTGCATAACTTTTCTGTCTACTTTTAGCTGTCTGAATATTCTTCTTGGTCTTAACTATCTTGGCTATAGTCACATCTACAAGATCTGGGTTGAATAATTTTCTATCACCCACCTTTTCCCAACAGATCGACGATCTGCATGGGTGGACATACAATGTCTCGTACATGGCCATATCGATACTTGTCTAGTAGTTGTTATTGTAAGTGAACTCTATCAAAGGTAACTGATCATCTCAATGGCTTCTGAAGTCTAGAACACAAACTCGGAGCATATCCTCCAGTATACGAATTGTCATTTCTGATTGTCAATCGATTTAAGAGTTTAATGCAGTACTAAGTGACAGTTTCATTCTCATAACTTGCTGAAAACTAGACCAAAACTAAAAAGTGAACGTGGGATTTCTGTCGGATACCACTGACACTGGAACTCTATGTAATCTAACTATCTCCGGATATATATTCTTACTAGTTTTTCCAAAGAGTCAATCATCTTGATAGTCAAGAAGTGATAAGACTTGGTGAGTCGATCGATAATTACCCAAATGACATCATATCCTAAGCGTGCCTTAGGCAACCCTGTCTCAAAATTCATTGTGATATGTTCTCAGTTCTACTTCGGGATTGGTAATGACTGAAGTAGTCCACCTAAGCATTGATGGTCTGTCTTAACTTGTTGACATACTAGACACTTGAAAATAAAACCGCTTACCTCTTTTTTCATATCGCTCTACCAAAATTGGGGTCACATACTTTGATATATTTTAGTACTTCTGGGATGCATGGCGAATCTTGAGCTATGAGTCTCTGATATAATGTCCTTTTTTCAGTTTACTGTTATCTGAAACACCCACTATGTTCTGAAATTTAAACAACCCATTGATAGAGACTCAGAATTCTGAATTTACTCTCTGTTATGCATCCTTCTTGAGAGCTACTAGGGTGGAATCGGTGGATTAGGTTTCTTTTATTCTCTGAATCAATTCAGGTTGGACAGGCAGGTGGGTCAAACATGCAACTCTTTTCAAATCCTGAAGTCGTATCTATTGTG